ATATATCAAAATTATTTGGAAATAAAGTGAGCAAAAATTTAAAGACTATTTAAAGATTAAATTTCCAAATTATTTTGATATATTCCAATATCCTTATTAATTATCCATACTCCAAAAATTCAAAGCAAAAGCTTGATGTATTATATGAATGTAAAAATAAATTGTTAAGATTAATATACTAAAAAAAATTTATATAAAATTTATAAAAAAAGCATCTTTATTTTAATCTTTAGCTATAAATAATATTTAACATTAAAAATATATGTATATGCATATATATATATATATATATATATATATATATATACACACACAATAAATTTTATTAAAATAATTTTATAATTACTATAGCTAAATATAATGGTTATTTTAATATATATTAATAGCTTATAAATTATATATTATTTTAAACACTATTCTTTTAAAATAATAAATTATTAATTTTTCTAAGCTACATATTTTATATAACTTTATAGTTGTTTTATGATTATTTTAAAAAAATCAATAAACTTATGAAATTCAATTTTAAGATATTATCAAATTTTTCATACTATTTATTTTACAAATTTAAATTTAATATATCTATGTTAAAAACTATCTTATGTAGATAATAATTTGTAATATCAAATCTAGAAGGAATTAAGAAATAAATCATTATTTTTGCAAAAATTAGCTAATATACTAACTTAAAAAGGACTTTTAAGAAAAATGAAATATTTCACTTCTTGGTCTTTTTATCAAACAAGATGTGGTCTGTCAGCCTTAGTGAATTGGACCTCTTGTTCATGACACTATCATTATATGTGATATTTGAGCCTTTATTCATGTTTCTTATCCCCCATCCTTTGAAATCTTCCACATTACAAATGCAATGGTGTGTTGTAGAACAAATAGAAGTCAATGTTGAGTGGTCCAAGAACAGAATAGTGCAAGCTATTTCCAAGGAGTCCCACATGTCCATTACATTAAAAACTGAGCATCATATTCATAACTATAAAATTAAGTGTGCTTTGTAGACAATCATCTTGGCCACTTCATTTTCTCCCACAAACGCTTTCTAATGATATATCAAAAACCTCTTATCTTGCAGTTGCTTCAATGGCTTGCGACAATCTATGCAACCCTTGTGACATTCTCAAGAACAAAGCGACTCCTCGATAATATTCCAAAATAAGCTGAAGAATTCTAAGCGTGGAAATGTACAGGCAGGGAGGTGGGTAATTGGAAATGTGTTGCTGCAAAATATCTGTAAGTGCATGCGTGTACTGCATTAGAGTTCCTTAAGAAAGAAAGAAATTAGACAGAACCAGATTGCTCATCTGTTGCTCAAATCATATAGAAACTATAAAATTGCATAACTCCAAAAATTTATAAAATTTGCATCTATAAAGTTTTTAAATTAAAGGAGATACATCTGTACATCTATTTATACATTTAATATTATCAAATATTATTTAAAGAACTTCAAGACTCTAAATTTCATTTTTTGCTATTTATTTTTTTGTTGGGTCTATAATTTTCTTTTCTAGTTGTCACATTTATATAAGTCAACTACACTGTACATATGTATAAAAATATTATTAACAACAAAAAACAAACTGCCAATTCGGGAGCTCTAGATCCTGAAAAGAAATCCCCAGAAGTTGTGTTACAACATCTCCACCACTTAGGGTGACTTATAGCGTCCAGGAAGGGTGTGGTATGAAGAAACAAAATGAGTGTTTGCACTGAATACTCTCAAATGTTTAAGTTTATCCTGATTCCAGAGAATGTTGGAACTAAAATCAAGGAAATGGGGTTTTCGAGATCATGCGAAGATGACGAAGATAAAGAGGCCTTAGAATCAATCAATCAGTTGCCATGGTGACTCAGTTTTTGTGATATCAGCATCCTTGGGAGATCTGCAACAACGTCCATTTTCACTCGCTCAGGCTCAATCCTACCTTGTTAATTAATGTGCCAATCGTGTCCATTTCTGTCAGCTCATCTTCACGAGAGAGGCTGCAAGATGAGGATTCCATCTGGGTTTACTCCTGATCAAATCATTCCTGTGTACATCTCTCTTTTCCATTTTTTTTTTTTTTTTTTTTTTTTTTTGTTCGCAACGATATGATTCGAGTTATTTTTTTTAGTCTGTCTTTCTGTGTTCGCAGCTATCACAATTCACGTTCTGTTCTGTTCCGTTCTTTCTTTCTTTCTTTATTCATATCTTGATTATATCAGACGGATGCTGAAGGGAGGATACAACAAAAGTGGTTGAGAAAGCCAGCCTTCACATTGTTGTGCATCGAGTGAACGATGCTGCACTGGCATTAACAACGAGCTATCACCGGTCAAGAGTCACCTGCAAAGTGAGACGATTGAAGCAAGAATCGAGTTCCTGTTTGTGTAATAGGATTGTCCACCGCCCATTCACCCATTCTAAACCTACCTGAGATCACAATGCAAGAGCAAGATGGAAACAAAACGTGAGAAACATACAACCTACGGTTGCATTCCTTCTACTCGTACCAGAACGAGTAGTTTGCGGAGAAGGACGAGAATGAGGGGGGTCGGAGCACGGCACGGAGGAGGAACACGAGCCGATGTATCCAAAGCAGACGATTGAGAACAGCAGAACGAAGATCTGAAAAGCGTGATTCCTCATGTGGGCAACGCTCAGCGCCGATCACTAGCACCATGGACACCACCAGACGCTGCAAACCTGGGAGACGCACCACCGCGCTTCTCACCACCGCCGCCGCCCCGGATTAGCAGCACTCCGCGTCCGCAACACCCAGTCTGTCACAAGACTGAGGTGCAAGTTGCGAATGAGTAGAGAGTGGCAAGGACATCGTGCAACCATCCCAGCTAAAACAAGCAAGTAAGCTGCGATAATCGCTGCTTCTGACTTCAAAAAAACCAATAACGTTTCATTCAACATTCGTTTCTTTGTTTGGGGGTTCGACTGCTTGTCCATCCATTCGTTCTCTCTTCGTTTTGAGGTATCTTTCGGGACAAGCGAACATTCTAAAATGAATTCCCTTTTTCACGGCATCATCATGTTCATGCTATTCACCACAGTTTAATAAGATTATATTGTAATGATATACATCACATGGTACATAGTAATAGATTTGATTTCTTTACAAGTAATCAATGAGCTTTGACGACAGCAAAATCTCAAGCAATGTCATGAAATAAGACGAAACGACCTAATACCATTTTTTTTTGATAATAATAATTACAAACATAAGATATGTATATATATATATATATATATATATTTGATTTTAAAGATATATTGTGTTTACACACACGTGTTGAAAAATAATAATTTTAAACCATTAATTTAAACATGGTATAACTTTTATTCTTTATAATAGAAATCAGTTTGTTAAATTACATATGCAAAAATCTAAGATAATATTTACAAATCAAATAGACAAATTTATAGCATTGTATTGGTAATAAACATATGAAAGTATATTTTACATTAATATGAGTTAATAAGTAGCTATAAAAATATCAATTGAAGATTTTTTTTCAAAATTATAGATTACCAAAGCTGGTAATAATCCGCTATATAAAAATATCATGGCTACTCTAAAATATTTTAAAAACTACAATTCTCTTTTGATCTATTAAAATTAAGGAAAGTTGTATTTATCTTAACTACATTATCTTCAATAATCATGTCACTTTTAAAATCAGACGTTAATAAAATTGATTAGCCATTAATTCTTTTTAATTGTTATTTTTTCGTAGTAATTCACAAACTTTCAAAGCAACACAACACCATGTTTCCTTATGGATCTTACTACCCTTTAAAATCGTACCATTTCATCATTCATTATTTCTAAGAACCTAATAATATGAAGATATGTCCTCAAATAAATTAAACTACCCTACAAATCTACCAACATGATAAGTAACATGCAAATGAAGTTTTAGTGTATGCCACAAATGCAGTGAGATTCCTCAAGCACTTTTATGGCACCTCATAGAAGAAAGTAGGTGGATCAATCTTTTTTAGATATTTTTTCTATATATCACCCTTTGAGAGCATTCGCAAAATAATTCATTTCCAATCACAATTGGTGTTTTTTTTATTCAGGTGTCAATAGGAAATTTTGAAATACAATCTCCCAATAAATTTTTTAAAAAAATCCCAAACTATTGTTTAAAATTTACACATTCACAACTACTTTACATTTAAAATTGATTAAAATTTATTCTTGAAAAAGTTGCACACACATATAAACAAGTAATTCAAATTTGTGTAAGAATATTTTACAGGAAAAGGGAGCCATGAGGCATGAACTCAACTACCATATCCAACACCCAAATACCACCATCCTGTATCTCCAACAAGTGTGATGGCAAAAATGCAGCCAGTTCAAACGCCCAGCCATGGCTCAAGCAGTGAGGGCATTCGCACTAGAGAATGCGCACACACACACACACAAACGTGTTCCGCACCGAAAAGAGCACAACATGGGACGCGTAGCTGTGCATGGAATGGGCAAGGCCATGGCTAAGAGTGAGTGAGAGTGAGAGAGAGAGGTAGCAAGGAAGCCTTGAAGCAGTTGAGGCACAAGGCGTCAAGACGTGTGTGGGAGGGGGCAGCCCATGATTGAGAGGTGGGGGCGATATCCAAGGGCATCCCTTGCGCATGGACCAGGGCCTCCTTTCAAACACTCCCTCACCCAACCCCACAAAGGCCCCCAGCGGACATGAAGAAGCTCTCAGGCTCGTGATTCGGAGTCAAGCCGCGCAGCACAAGAAGTATGGACACAACCTTCTCATGGCACCCGTCAATCACGCCACCACCAACCTTTGCCTCTCCTCCAATCACACTGGCATGATATATAAAAGTCTCTCAAGCAAGCGCAGGGGGACTGCCGCACCGGAAGGGCTGGACAGAGGTTCTTCTGCACTCCAAATTTTGGTGGAGCTCGTTCCTTTCAGTGCCAGGGAGCTCAGGATTCAAAGGGCTCAGCCTGAAAAATAACACTTGCTGCGAGAAATGGCAAAATATGAATTTTTGAAATTGTGTTTGAACAGGAGTAAACAGAGAGATTGAGAAAGCCCAAGCCCGTGCAATAAGCTGCTGCAGGGCTGATTTCTACGCCAGAGCCCACTACAACGTGTGGAAGCCCTGGATGCGACGATTTACTTTCGGGTGTATCGTGTTGCTCTATTTCAACTGGAAGCATGGAAGCATGGAAGTAGCCGCCCATGCGGGATCCAGCTTAACTTCGAATTAGTTCTGTTGTTACAATCTGTATATGCGGCTATCCATCGGCTGGGCAGCTCAAGGTATGTGTACAAAGTAGGGGGCTACATATGTAATGAGAGCAGATCACACCCAATAATCCGCAAGACTGTCAAGTATGTTTGTTACAGGGGAGCTCTCGCAGATGGGGTTGGGCTGCAATATGAGGACCAACTCCACTTTGTAACTGGCATGTTAGCTGAAGTAACAATGAGCTTTAGATGTTGCTGCTGCAGAGTCAGGCATAGATGGGATACAAGTTCAAGCTGGGTGCAGGCAAGTAGTTTAAAGGCACTACTGCGTCTTGTTGTTGAGCCATCTCCTCCTCAAGGAACTCTGGAGCAGGCAAATTCAAGTCCAAGACTGCCTCTTTGACTGGCCGGCGCTGTGGCCCTCCTTCCAACTCCTCCTGGCTTTGCACTGGCTTCGCACTCGTAACCTCGCCAGCGCCGCTTCCGCCACTCCAATGACACCTCTTGTGGCCTCCCAAAGCTTGCCCAGAATTGAAAACGCGGTGACAGATCGAGCACTCGTGGGATTTGCTCTTGTGGGCCGTCATCTGCATCTCTTCATTGTCAGCTCTGGCTGCAGTGAGGTAGCTGAGAGGTCTGTCTTCTTCTTCGATGCTGGTGTGGGAGGTCTCTCGGAGCTCCTCCGGGAACTGCACCTCCGACTTCGCATGGAACTCCATGTCATCGTCCGCGTCCGTGGAAGTCTCCGTGCTGTGGTCGTGTGCGCTGCCATCGCCCGGGTTGGTTCGAGCAAAGCACCCCTTCACCTTCTTGTGGCTGGCGCGGTGGCCTCCCAGCGCTTGGTGAGACTTGAACTGCCGCTTGCACGTCGCACATTCGTACTTCGATCTTGCATTACTGCCGTGAACCCCTGTTGTCCAAGAAAAAATTGGCTTATTTTACCTCAGATATTGACATGTGTTCCGAAACTTTACATTCACAACAGAAAGAGCAGAGATCGTGATCAAATTCGTGACGAGTACTCACCAGCGTCAAATTCATCGGCGCCTTCTTCCGTGTCCCCGCACAAACTGGCAGCTTCATCTTTCACGTCCCTTAAATCCACCTCATCCGTCTCAGCTTCCACTCCCGACTCGGGCGTCCTCGACTTGCTGACGTGGGACTCGGGAGTCGACGCGGGCATATTTCTCTCCTTACTGTGGTCAGCTTGGAGATTGGCTTGAACTTGAAGCATCATGAGCGTCTCGGCCATGTCGTTGGACTCCGACGCAGTATTATCCTGGCTGCAGGAGAATTGCTCCGTCTTCACGTTGCTCGGTGCATCCGGGGAGCAGTGTGTCTGACGGGACCTTTTGGACCGCTTCGACCATGTGGTTCCATAGCCTATATCCCGGTCGCCGTTTGACATGTACGCAGCCTCTATGCTTTCGGTGTCACTCTCATTGTCGGATGCCTTGCTAGCTTCATGCGCAGCCCTCCTTGAATCCACGGACGCAGAATTCTCGACATCATCTTCTCGAACTAGCGCAGCTGGCGGATGGAGTTGGGCGACGGGGGCCGCTCTCCTCCTCCTCCTCCTCCTCCTCCTAATTGAATTGGAATGATTCCCACCGCCATCCGGCCTCCTGGCATTGGTCTCTTCAGCTGGGGGCTGGATCCCACGCCACTCGCGCTCCGGGTGGCACCTCATGTGTCCAAACAAAGCTTTCCACGATGAGAATTCCTTTCCGCACTCTGTGCACGGTTTTGGAAGGTCTTCAGTCACCGAGCTCGTCTTCACGATTTCCAAACCTTGCACCATCGGTGTAGTTCCCCCTACATCAACCACGACCTCCTGGTCAATCATCTTCCTGCTTCGCTTCGGATTACGCCGTAATGTGTACTGTGGGTGATTCTTCCTGTGAGAATGCAGTCTTTTTGCACTACCAAACTCCTCATTGCATATCCCACATCTGTAACAAACGACATCGGCCTGGTCTCCATCTCCATATTCGTCATCATTCAGCTCCTCCGAGCTAGATGACCGGCGCAATTCGTCCCCATCCTCACTTCTCTTCCTATTTCCCTTGTCTTGATTAACCTTGGAATTCGGCGGAGCTGCAGAGTGGAGGCCCGACTTGGCTGATGATCTTTGAGAGCTAAGAGAACCCGACCGCGTCCTTCCTCCGATCACCGTTCGCAGACGGGAGCGTGGAGCGTCGCTGCGGGAGGGACGCAAGAGTGGGTGCCCCAGAGAACTCTCGTGCATCGGATCCTGCTTGATGACGCTCGCATTATCTATAGAACTGCTGACGTCAGCTTTGGAACAGTAGTCTTCAATTCCAGCCTCCCTCTCGATCACTTCACCGAGCTCGCCTTTCACTCCTGTGCTGTTATTAGTTTCACTTGGCTGATCGATGTCCATGCCTGGATGAACCAGCCCTCTCCAGTGAGAAAAAAGTTCCCAATCCTCTAAAGCAATGTACAACTACCTAACTGCAGGGACGAGATAGAGAGAGAGAGAGAGAGAGAGAGAGCATTAGGATTATTGAGCTGGAAAAGCCCTCGCAATGACACAATCCAGGAAGTAAATGTGCACGGAGAGCCGGACCCAGCATGTAGCGTGTGGCTGTGGATATAAATTGCTCTCCCTTATAACTAGATGCTATTCATGCAAGTAAACAGGGAGGATGGGATTGAGCTTCCAAAAACTAATTTCCTTGGGAGTAACGACCACGACAGAGGATGGAAACGAAGAGATCGGGAGATTGCCGTTTCGCAAGCACTCCACACGACCGGCATCGACGGAAGCTAATCTAGCGCTTAGGATCCCTCACTACAAGATGCGAAGGCCCTGGATACGACTAGATGGAATCCGTTACGGCGGAAACAGATTCCCTTAGCATACCCAACAACTCTCAAGGCTTCGATTACCTGAAAGTGTAACTGCCAGTCTATGGTGATGCTTCTTTTGATAGCATCAATCAATACATGACCTTCGTCAAACACAAGGGCTTCTACACTGTTGAACTGAGCATATTCTCTACAATAGCGCGCCAGGTTCGAAATATGATGCGGAAAGTAGATTAAAGAGGCGAAGACGCTGAAAGCAGAGCTTCTCCAAGAGCCAAGAATGTCGAACGGCAAACAAACTGACGACCCGCTTAAGCTGACCTCGCTAACAAGCTTTACACACTAGCTTAAGCTGTCCACGAAGGAGCAGGAGTAAGTCTGGATGAAATAACAAAAAAGAATACCTCAGCTCCGAGGATCTTTTTCAACGACCGATCACAACCCCACAACGTACACGAACACAGTGTGTAATTCCACCCACCGCGTCGCACACTGAGAGGCCACGGCAATTGGCGGACATCCCGGCGCACCAAAACTGGAGGTTCGGAGAACAAGCTTCGTCTCCTACATCAACTCAAGCAACTAGGAGCTGAACGAAGGTAGAGCCGGTTTACAGACTAAGCGCTTTCTTAAGAGCCACGACACTTATTCCAGCTTATCAGGAGCTTAACCCCACGACGCGATCCAACTTCAGTTCCGATAATACTCATCTCTAGTGGTCTGCCTGAGCTCACCTTCAACAGTGGAAACTCCCAAATTATCCTCCTCCGCCTTCTTACCACCATCGATGCTGATCTTCCACTCATTGTCACCACCTGAAATTGCCCCTGGCATCATGTCTTCTCTCTCGAGATCCATCCCTCGCTCCAAACCCGTCGCCCTCTCCACCCAATCTAGCGAGCTCCTCCCCCCTACCCCCCTCCCACACCCGGGCCCGTTGCGCTCACCGCGCCCGACCTTCCACCTCTAGTCCTCTCACCACCTTACACTGAAACTCCACTTCCACAAAAACAAAATAACCACCAGCAACGTCCCCGTTTGGAACCCTATTCGTACTTCGCCACTCCTACCACTCACCACACGCAAACATACTAGCCTATGGCGCTGAAGCTGGAGCTCGAAAATCTACGCCGGGATGAGCCCACTCGACGTGCTTGCTGCAGCATGGTCTCCAATGGAATCGCTAATTGGGCATGATGGTTGGAGTGTACGTGTGATGATCGAGAAGGGGAAGAGGAGGAGGAAATGTGGGTGCAAGTCTGGGTGGGCGACAATTGAGGCGCTCTTTCTGCGGCACTCAGTGGGTCCCAAAGCCCCGCAATTCCAGCCTCGTCGTCTCTGTCGTAAGTAACCAAACCCGCCCCTCACCACGAACCGTCAGTAATCGCCGCAGAGGCGTCTTCTGCTTCTACTCATCTTCTTCCGCACTCGTCCCTTCCCATCTCTTTTGGCATAAGCGACAGATCACCACCTACTCGGGGCCGCAACGTGCCTGCGACGAATCCCAAACCATGAAAGCTAGCTTCCTCCCCCGCGCCGATCGGTCGAAAACCCCAGTTGGCGGCTGCTCGAATTTGTGGCGGGGGTGGCGTCAATGCGATCCTGCAGCTCAATTCAGTCACTAACGATGTCGAATTTGAGCTCAGAATCACATTACGGCTACAAGCAGAGCACAATCATGCAGAAAATGCTGTTGCCGAATTAGCACCGTCAAAGCTGAATTTTCTGATGGAAGCTTTATTGATTGCTTGGACCCACGGGTGGAAGCTGAATTTGCAAGGAAGAAGAACTAACTGGAGTCAATACATTGCTTTGGCAGCGCCAGGTTGGACGTTCTGCTGGGTAACGTGACGGTCCCAACCAACTACCCTGAGTCAAGAGCTAGCTGACCCCGACAACGCTCGTCGCAATAGCCACCATCATGGATCGGATTCAATTAACAAAAAAAGAGGAAGGGGGGGGGGGGGGGGGGGGGAGGAACCACACAGTGTCTTTAAATCATCGGTAACAACAACTCTCCTGGCAGTGCCCTCATCTCTCTCTCTCTCTCTCTCCCGCACCACTCTCTGCTAACAAGCTCAAGTCAAGCAAAACCCAAGCCTCAACAGGCATAAACAATTCTTTCCCGAATAATTCCAACCACCCTCCATTGTTGACCCGTCCCTACACAAGTGCTAATTCAGACAATCTCTTGATCAACACACATGTTAACCAGTTGCACTCGATCACACCAAACCCATGGAGTGCACTTCTTCCGACAACATGACATGACCTGATGCTACTGCACAGATTACTCCAAAGTGCGCTTATTCACCGTCAGCAACAGCCGATAAAATCCGCAATTAGCGCGAAAATTATAAGAGGATTAAAGAAACAGTATCCAACTCTAAACAGGCTCAAAAGACCCGACAGCGACTGCAGGTTCTCCATCCTACGTCCGAGCTACTCCCACTTCGGCTCTCTGTTGAAGTTTGGTTGCGGCGTCGGTCTACCCCATGATGTTCGTCATCGCTCACTTCGGCACGCGGTTGTCGCGAATTCCTTGGGATGAATGCTGCAAGTCGCCCCTCTACTTGCTTATTCCTTCAGATTGTGTGGCCCAATCGCTTTCTAATCCTAGTCCCCGTCTGGCCCACGACGAGCAATTTCATTTCTGGAGGATTGCGCTCCACCACTAGTCCATCCAACCTCTGACTCAACGAACTTTGACTTGAAGAAGTTGATGCCACTCATTCTTCGTGGGAATCCTTTACCAACTATTCCATCCCATTATTGTTTAGTGTTGTATTACGAGGATTGAACACATCAAGCTCCTGGCGTGTATAGGGGCGTAACACCGCATCATCCCCAGGTCAGAACGACACAGAGGCGTGGATTGATTGACTTCGGCCTGTTGCACACCAAACCCATCGAGAATGTGTGAAAACATGGCCTTTCCGGTCAGACTGAGCACACTGTACGTCGAAAGCATGCGGAACTTCAATATACCGCCACGGCGACCCATCCCCTAGCGACAAGAGGCAGAGAATACCAACATACTTCGTTGAATCCCAGCCTTGACAGCATCATGTTACCGTCGTTTTTTTCGCTTCTTTTGATTCTTCTCACTCCCCAGAGGTCCAGCCTCATACTTTCTTTTCCCGATAGGTGTAGTAGGTAATACGTACATATACCCAACATTGATCATGTGCCCGTATTATATATGTACAGGCCATGGCTCCTGGCTGTGGCGCGCACTTAAGGAGAAAGCGTCGAGAGGTTGACTTCGGAACGAGGACAGAAACGGGGAAGCCGAGACGAAGCTCACAGGTACCAGCCAGCGAAGCATTAAAAGAAGCCAGGATCATGAGGTGCAGTCCCTGTCCGGCTCTTCCTGCTGCTGCTTCTCAGGTTGGGCCCTTCTGTGACTTCATCGCTGGAGAGATGATCTCCTGGATCTGCCATCCCCATTGTCCCACTGCAAGGGGGTCTGTCTGACTCGGATTCCGTCTTGGAGGCTCGGCTTACGTCCACCAGGGTCGTCTTTTCGGGCGAGAGCGCGAGAGGGATATTCTACCACGAACCCATCCATCAACGCCCCGTTGACGCCACTGAAACCTGATTCCGAAACCGAATGACGCTACCCCCGCGCCTCTGCGTGCTTGGCTAATAATAGAAAAAGGGAGTTTGCAGGAAAGCGGACGAGTCTAGTCCAGTCCGCCATGGGGGGCTGTGGCTCCCTCAAGACGGATTGCCGGTGCCACAAGCATCACCAATTTATAGAAACCTCACGCACTGCACCACAGCTAACGCCTGCAGACTCCAGCCTCGCCCTCCCTCCCTTTGCTTGCTTGCTTGCTTGCTTGGTCCATCGCCGCGACAATCTCGTCTTCTAGACCGCAAAACCATCGCCGTTTGTTGGGCTTCGGGGAGTGCGAGTGGAGAGCCCATCTTTGTCGCAGCCTTGGGAGACCCGCATCGGACACGGATGACCGTGTGGGGGCTATGACGGTCGTGGAGGACCACGGACATGATGCGGGGGGCTATAACCGCTCCCTACCACACCACCACATCCAATTCGCATGACCAAACAAAGCCCCCATTTCATAACATTGCTCTTTTATTTTTTTATTTTTTTTTTGAAAAAAGGAACCAAAAGTATCTCTCTCTCTCTCTCTCTCTCTCTCTCTATTTGTATCCACCCAATCTGTAACTTTGACTGTGTGTGATTCACTTTCTCACTTCTTTTTTCAATCATTCTTTATAGTTGAGAAATTTGCATGTATTAGAATGTGAATTAGTGCAAACACATACACTGCCAAAATTATGAAGTTGTTTTTTTGTCTTCTAACTTTATTGCTGGATATGTTACAATAGCCTGTAACAATTTTTATATCAATGTTCATGTAATTACATCTTATTGATACTTTCAAGATTTTATTATTATTATTATTTACTTATTATTTTTATTTATTCATGCTAAAATAAAATAATTCATTCATGTTATCATTTTATATCATTTTTTGCATGAATAAATAAGCAAAAGAGCAATGGAATTGAAATGATTATATATATATATATATATATATGCATGACTATCTATACAATATATTTATTAACCAAATAAATAATTGGCTGTTGCATTTGTATGCACATGGGATCCTTCCATAATATTTTGCATATTGTTATATTTGTTCAAACCAAGTTTTTGTAATTTAAAATGAAGAAATTGTCAACAAAAGAGTAATGCTTTAGTCATGTCTTTCAAGGCATCAAAATGGAGGTGCATGTTGCAAAAGTTCAAAAGATTAAGTCAAAAGTTTAGACATTGAATAATTTGATAAGTAAGGTGGTGTCTCATTTGTCATTACTCACAACTTTTAAAAATCTTTGTTACTGTTTTATGCTATTTCCCAAGCATTTCCTTGGCCATTCATTGCAGAGATACATTGGCATGGTAATACTTTTAAACAAACAATCACGTTTTTCTAAAAGAGAATTGGGTACAAAAATGATTAACTGCAAAAATAAAATAAAAAATAAAATTGAAGATGCACAAAAATATTAAACACCAACACACTCATTAATGTAAAATAACTTCACATCATGAAGGGATGTAAGTCTGAATGAATTCATTCACCAGGTAGTATCAACACAAGTATCAACTCCATGCCATTTCAAGTCTATAGTAGCTCAAAAATATGGTGAGATAATTTTAAAAAAATGGTTTCTATCAACGTAATGGGTTTGTAAATGTTGTGAAGTAAGCTTTTCTCCTTACAACCAAGATTGGGGTTTAAGGTTTAGGATTATGACTAGGCCTCTTTAAACTAGGACTTTCTTTGAAATATCTAATTTGGCTTATTTTAGGGTTGCAACTAGGTTTTATTTTAGGTACATTAAGAATGGATGAAATTAATCTATAAAGCTATCCAAAAACATCCATCCTTATTAAATTTGATAGACTTTGTTGAATTATTTAGAATGTAAGATATTCTTAAGCAAGAAGTCCTTGAAGCATTACTGATACTTATCTTTCTTCCACCCAATCATGGAAAAGTCGGATTCAATAGTGCTTGTCTTAGGATAAATGGAAGTTAGCTGACGACAAAAATTTTGAAATTATAGAAACTGATTATTACCATGAGCCCATCTGATGTGAAATTCTATATGTAAATTAGAGCACTTGTCAATGGCATCTTTAAAGGTCATTTCTTTGCAATAGGCACATACTATGGCTTAGTGGTTATTCTCAATATCCTCGATGGATTTAATATTCTATCCAAATGATTCCAATTGCAATCTATGCTAATAGATGGAAATGCATCGCAAAGACATCTATAGTACGTATAAATTGTAGGATAGCACTTTTAAAATGTCCTTATTTTTGGCATGGTTATTGTGATTGCATTGGACAACAATAGATGCAATGTCATTGATAAGCACAACAAACAAAGCCACCACATTATGGGCTACAACCTTGGCCTTGGCTGCGAGCAACATAGCCATGAATTTCATCATGAAAGTGCCTTGATCTTGAATAAAAGCCTTTGCACTTGTAAGAGCCACATACCAAGATCCACTAATGACCAGATTTAGGGCATCATAAGCCATGGCTAGAGCCTCCGCACTATATGAACCTTGCACTTTGCACAAATCTGCCAAAAATTGAATCAAGCCTTTAAACTAGGTTTTTTCTTGATTTGGAAGGATATTTAGTCTTTATAAGTATGTCACAACAATGAAGATTACCTTCACAATATTATTGAGTATGAGTAATACTACCCACCAAGAAAGAAGAAGAATACATGCATGTAGCTTCTATGCAAGGTACTTATAGATCATCATACATCCTTGCCACAAAAATCCACTCAATTTTTTTATAGACCACTACTATGTACCTATGAATTTTAGACATGTACAACCCATCTTCTTGATGAGATTGTATTATTAGCAAAGATAAGAGACAATGTCTATCAAGATGTTGATGAACTAATCATCATATAACTTGATGTACTCAACTTGAATTACAAGATCAAGTTGGTGTAGAACACATTGCACCCACATAACTCCATCACCAATTGCCTTGACCATCCTAGTCACGATGCTAAAAATTTGCCCATTTATTGTCCACTTGCCATCCATGCTAATTCCAAATAATTGTATCTTCTATTTTGAAGCAACGACCTCTAAAAGTTTTGTACTCATAACAAAGATTACTTTGGCTATCTTACAATCAAAAAGCTGAATAGCAAGAAGGTAGAGGTTGTGCAACTTTGATTGATGCTCAAATTGGACTCAAAAGTAAAGATAAGAGGTGCCTTACTTTGAATCAATGTCAAGAGTGAGCAAAAATGTCTATTGCATGTGGAGGAGCTTGGTGATTTTTTGTAAGTTCCCAAAACAAACCACCTTTACAAATGAAGTTGCATGGTCATCACTGCATCCACAAAAGTAATC